TTGCCGCCAAATGGCACCACAGACAGCAGTTATGGCCAGAGCCAATACGCTCCGTAATGGCGTTAAATCCTTGAGATATGAATCAATAGGATATGATCGATAGGGCACAAAGCCCTCTGTTAGCTAAGGTGGATTCAAATTTGTCCCCTTAGACAAACATTCAACCCCGGTCTACAAGGTCCCCTTGGACGAAGCAACCCATGGCTGCCGACAAGGATCCTTCTGTCAGGTTGGGTCGACTACCTCCTCTGACTAAGTAGACCAGGGACCACGATGGCCCGGGATGACGGAACCATGAGATCTTGATCGGGCCCATCATCCATTCCCCCACCATCCGCTTTAAGTGTTGGATGGTGAAAATTTCTATTTTAAATACCAAATCTTCCAAATATCCAAACTTCCCAAATTCAGAAACCCAAATCCAATTTCTACCAATACATAAATCCATTGCTGCTATTATATGCCAGATAACACGTATTCTATACGTATCTGATTGACGACTAGCCTTAATCAAAAGTTCTCTCTCGTGATCGGGAGAGGTAATTAACTATAGGGGCTTGCGCCTATAGGAAACCAGAATTCAGATCATAAAGACCTCGCAAAATGAGGGCGAAATCTCTGGGTAGTGTCTTATCTACAAACCCATCTGCCTTCCAAAATTTACCTCGAAACTTATTCCATTAAAACTCCCTTGCCAAATAAGTAAAGCGAGCGTAGGCCGGGGCCGAATTTTCGGAGCCCACAGAGGCATGCTATCATAAATATGCCAAATATCAACTTAAAGAAATTTGAACTAATTCTTATGAATCAATTGGGTATCTCACCTCGGTATCTCAATTCTTTCTTCTTTTGTATACCACCTCTGTCACGCTCTTCATCATTCAATTCAACTCTCTTCCTTAGCTATTTGTCCTGATTTCTAAAATCTGCAACTTTCAACCTCCCCTACAAGCCGCCTTCTGAATACTTAAACTATGCTGGAACATGGAGGCTTGTGGGTAAGAGGAATAAAGGGAAAACACACCAGCTGCTTTCCAATACTTACAACCGCCCATCCATCAGCAACTATCGCAGTCCCATAATGTCTTTTACCTATTTTCCCCATATTTCCTGAATTCAGCAATTGAATTCAATAACAGCACTGAATTTAACAACTTAGAATGATGTTATAACCTTGTTTCAGCATCCCTAAAGTTCAGAAATCTAAAATATAACATCCAGCTAACCTTTCAGTTTCGGATTTCAGCAACATACCAACAAGCTTTAATCATTCCTCTTACTTATTTTCTACCAACCACAACTTGCTACACACACTACAATCAACAAAATTTATTTCAGAAGAAATGAAAGAATTGATTTATGCATGCACCTCTGGTTTTCTTCAACTTTCTAAGCCCTAAAGAAGATTTCCTATGTTTCCTTACCTGAAAACAGCGGCTCCCCTTGCTGAGCAGCTTTTCCTTCTCCAAAACAAGAAGCATCGTGGAAATGGTAGAGGAAAGACTAAAGGAATTACTTGAGATGGCTGTAGAGTTATTGCTTAGGATACTCAATATAATATTGTTATTGGTATTCCACTAAGATTCCACTCACTTGCCCTCATTCCTCTCCTAGCTGTAGGATTAAATCCACCC